TCACATCATTAATCAGAATCTTCAAAGTAACTCAAATATGTAGTGGAGTAAAATACCCGAGGTGGTAACGCGCAATGGGTAGTGGAGTAGAACAAAGTAGTATGCTGCTGAACAAAAACATTTCCCAACTTGGCATCAATAAAGTATATTCTTATCTTGTCTTATCTTAAGCATGATCGATGGCTACTGCCATATTGCAAAATGTGCCTCTGAACCATTGACAAGTGGCTTGTTTCAGGCTTATCAATGAACACAGGAGGGGTCCACAGGACATGAAGACCAGCTCGTTAGCGCGCGCGGGTGTCATGGGGTATATTAATTCAGCCCATTCATTAATTATATGTTTTAAAATTTGATAACACCACTGTGTTTCGTATCTCCCCTAAGACCTCCCAGGGTGTACAGTTTAATACTGGCAACTTCTAATTGTGGAAATACGAAAAACGTTTATAAAGAACGTTCCATAGAACATGGTTGCGGGGCTGACCCCGCCAATTCCAGTTTTGGATAGTCTGCCGTGGTTCTTCCATTTCATTGGACTGTTTGACGCTCGGCGTAACCTTGTCGCACTGCCACTCCAACATCCAATCACAGGGATTGATGACTAATCACGGGGTTTGTAAAGCAAGGCGGATGTTGTAGTCCCAAATGATAGCTGGGGATTCTGGGTAGTGTAGTGTCTTCGGAAACTGTACTGTCTAAACTCCTAAAAAACTATTTGTTTCTCTGAATCGAAGGTTAAAAACACAAAAGCATTGTACACAATTTAAACCAATCAATATTGTGTAATTAACAAGGATAAATTGATGTTTTTTAGTGGATGAGTAATGCAGATATCACTGTGTAATCATTTGTCAGTGAGGGGAATATATCCGGTTTTATTATGAAAACTTCGAGACCGGAAAAACTGTTTTCACCCACGCTAACTTTACATGGAAGCTGCATACATGTTATCCTGGCGAGACCTCAAATTATCTTCGTAATATCTATCAAACTATAGATCCTACACATCGACTGGACATGGATTCTAAGAGTACAATATACACTTCTCGCCAGAAATCGAATCAAAAAGCATTTTAATGGCCAAACTATTCCACAATTTAGGACTGTCTAGAGAGGGTTATTTGTGAATAAACGTCCCTCCGGAGCGTTTGCAATGAACGGGCCGGGAGCATGTTGTTTCTTACACGACCACTAGAGCACCTCTAGTGGTCAGGTAAGAAACAACATACACTTAAAACGTGTCTCTGGGTCGTAATAAGGGCATGAACAATCGGCCTATAAGGTCGTTTTTTGTAGAAGGACAGGCTGACTGTAGCAGATACGATTGTTATCGTCCTCGTGTGGCTGCAGCCTTAAACCACGCTCCAAGCTGTAGTGGAAATGCGCAACAAGCAGCGTGGAAGTTCCATGCAGGCTTTAAATGTGTGAAACATGGAAATGGTAAATGTCAGTTTGATCAAATCTGATGTGAAGCTTTCCAACTGTTTTCTTGCTATGCTGCAGTTTGTTTCAGTCACGTTTCACCTCTCATCTTCACAAATCAATGCAGCTTCAATTTACATACCTTTCTCAGCTATTTAGTAAATGCTAGTTCAACCCGATTGGGAATCTCCCTGTGGATAGGGAATGTCTAACCTGCTACTCTTCCACTGTTAAGCAGATAGAAGCTACAGCTTTGAGCCGACAGTAAGGGACCGCCACACAGTTTTCGTCCAAAGGCTCCACATTAAATCTGTCTCACAAGTACTAACTTTCTACCCACACCGGGCAATGTGTGACACTGCCCTGAACCCATCGCAGCATTCAAGCCCTATCCACTGAATAACAGAAGATTATTATTATTTTTATCATCATACAGTACTGCCTCCTCTGCAAAGTAGTAGCATTGTTTAAAAAAAGTATGCAGCAGCAGCACCTTGTCTATTGATCAGGTTCTACCTGCCAGGCGTGCCCACATACTGTATGTACTAATGGCCTGTGTGTCATTGTGTGACACTGCACTGCAAGCTGGTCCAGGTAAATATCTGATACTGATCTGGATGGTGATAGGCTTCTGACTCAGAGCGGGGATATTTTCCACCCTCCGTGATTTAAGAGAAATAGACAATAAAATGCATGTAAGCGTTTCTCTGCATGTGTCTGCCCTGTGAGACACTGACCACCTCTCTAGGGTGCATGACACTTTTGCACAATACATGCTGTCATCTGACTATTGTATTCGTTTTGCATTTGAATACCTCTGCTATGCAACTTCCCCATTCACCAACGTGTTGTGTACTTAGCATAGTAGTTTTAATTTAAAAAGTCTCAAAATGAAAAGAATACTAATAATAGGAACATACACCCTAAACTAAATTGAAATGTTATCTTCACAAATCAAAACTATGTTTGTAGCATAGGGGATAGGTTTCAGGAAGTCTGTAATTTGAGTTGAGCTGAAGCCAAGGCAGCAACATTTCTCAAAAACAATTTTTTTTTTTTTAATCATCAAAAATCGGCATGTCTCTTAAAACCAGCGTTGTTTTCCCATCACAACATTATTCAAAGAGACTGAATGAAAGAGACAAATCTAAGGATTTTCCACAGAGCTGAGCATCAGCACTTTTCTGGACAGATTAGATAAAATATGGCAAAATAAAGGCAGACTGTGGCAATATCTGAAGTCGGACAAAAAAATTGACTTCCTTCCTTAGTTACTTTCCTCACCCTGCTAACCCGTTAAGAAGAGAGAGGGAAATACGCAAGAGAGAGAGACAAGAACATAATGACAGTGTTTTTCAAGACACTTGTTTCCCGTACAATTCTTTCAAAAGGCCGACCCTAATATCCTTTCCCAAACACTAAAAGAATGGAAAAGAAAGACCATTGCATGAAAAGGTAAATAAGTCGGAAATGCAGGAGTTTGAGGTCTACCTGCTCAGGGTGTTCCCAGCCTGGTATCTCAGCCACTGTGTTGAAGGAGTCAGCATCCGGCAGAGTCTTGGCTCCCATTGTGAGTCTGACCACGATCCTCTGCCCTCTCTGAGCCATACGCCACATCAGCTCAGCATCCTCCACGGTGATACAGGCTGAAGGGATGCGCTTTACTCCATCTTGGTAGTCCTGCAAACCTGTGTGGGGACTAGAGAGGGACAGACAGAATGGATGGAGAGACATTTTCATACATTTCCTTTTAGAAAGATGGTGTTGATGAAACTTTATTCTGAAATATTTCTTACATCACAAAAGGTACATTTTCAACATAAACAAAGACAAAACATTTGAGACCATAAACAAGGATATTTAGATAGATAGATACCTGTTAATAGAGAATGGCGTAATAGAGCGAATGAGCGTGGCCACAGCCCCCACTTTGGCTGCCTCAGAGGCGCCATAAGCACGGTAAGCCACCGTCTCCCCGTAGCTGACAAATGGTTGGTTAAAGACTACAATCCTCCCAATTGCTTCGCTGGCTCTTTGCTTCAGTTCATCAAAAGACTGAACTACCAACACCTCTGCCTTGATACCTGGAGAGATAAGAGAGAAACATAGAGGAGTAAATGGAGGTGGATGAAAGGTGTTAAAATGATTGATAGAGTATGATCTTTACCCTCAGGTGGTGTCCCAACACTGCTACCAAGTCCTAGTATAGCCAAACTTTTGGCCCTGGGTGCAATCATTTCTGCACTCTCCTTCCCTCTCACCCAATGTGGGATTTTGACTGGCTCTGGGGAAGAAAAGTGGCAAAAACTGTTACTGTCCCATAAAGCAGAGTGCAAGACCTCTCTGAAAAAGCAAGCATCCCAGTGAGAAAGATAATAAAGCAATCTCACCTAAATGTACGTCCAACCCATCCTGCGTCATAGCATTGTACATGTATTTAATGGCCATCTTCAAGTTCTGTGAGCCACTGACACGGTTCCCGATGGTGTCGGTGAAGTCGGCCAGCCGCCTGTAAGAGCGGTTCTGGGCAGCTCCAAAAACAGCCAGGTCAATGATCTGTTTGGCCACATCAGCGTAGCCTGCTACCTCTGCAGCTACGTCTGAGCCTGGGATCACAGAGAAACACACAAGAAAGAACTCAATATTTAATCATTTTTTTGTTTATCCACCATGTTTTTTAACTTTTTAAAAGCCTTTCAGTCCAAAAGTCAGAATGCAAAACTAGCGTGTCTTTGTCACTTGAGTAGATACTGTACAGTATATTGAGTGTGGAGGGTATGACTGAGTCTGCACTTCATATCCAGTGTTCATACACTTTTTCACCAATGATTTTCAATGACTTTTCCATGACTTCTCAATGACCTTTACCTAATTTTCCATGACCAAAAAAAAATGACGACTGAAAATTGTTTATTTTAACATGAAAGAGGAAAATAAGGTCTGCATATGAAACATGTTGTGCCTATCTAAAACAAATCAAATAGGCTTACTAGCTTCTACAGACTAAAGCAACTAAAATCTCTCACCAGGCTAAAGCAACTGTAGTCAGGGATGCAAACTCATCAGGTATGAAAAAGGTGACAAGGATCCGAGCCCCCGACCCCACGGAATATCGGCTTTAAATGAGGAATAACAGAGGATTTTAGCAGTCAGAACAACTAAAGCAGCTGTGTTAAGAATAACAGAAACGCTGAAGAGTCACATCTAATAGAAATATATAAGAATTTATTTTAATTGTGTAGCAATCAGTTTATAATTTAGGCAGCACTGTTGAGCATTTTGAAAATGTATTTTCATGCCTCTGTGCAAGGCTTAGTCTTTCTATCTGTATAGCCACTGGTGTAAAGT